TTTCTCATTATATAATGTGGAAAACTTTTTTCTAGTTGCAGACGACTTGTTGACTGTGAATACTGAGTGGGGAGCAGAGGGATGGAGTCTGGCATGGAGGAGATCCCAGTTAAAGTTGCTGTTCGAATCAGACCTCTGCTTTCCAAAGAAATACTTCATAACCACCAAGTGTGTGTGAGATTAGTCCCAAATACACAACAAATTATCATTGGGAAGGACCGTGCCTTCACTTTCGATTTTGTATTTGGCAAAAATTCAACCCAAGAAGAAGTTTATACTGTTTGCATTAAGCCTCTTCTAGTGTCTTTGACTGAGGGATACAATGCTACAGTGTTTGCATATGGACAGACAGGTTCTGGGAAGACTTACACCATTGGAGGTGGCCATATTGGTAGGTTGTAGGAAGTTTGGGGGTTTTATACATTTTATAAAATGCTCTTTCACATTCCCTTTTTTAACATGCAACTTAAATGAGATTGTCATCCTGAAATGCAGTATTTTGGAGATTCTTCATTTAGCTTACCTTGAAAATATCTGTTTTAGGCAATTGTTTGCTTGCTTAGCATTTGCTTCTTTTTTTGACAGAAACTTTTCTATGACATCTCAGAAATTTATTATTCAAGTCTTTGAAACAGATATGTAGAGATTATTCTAAATCTCTTGACAGGTATTAAAATACTCCTTTTATTTATACTTGGGGAGTCTTGGAATCATTAGGTTGGAAAGACCCTAAAGTTCATTGAGTCCAACCAGTGACCCAGCACAGCCAAGTCAACCGTCATGGTCCTAAGCACCACATCTACAAGTCTTTTAAATTCCTTCATGTGTGGTGACTCCACCACTTCCCTGGGCAGTCTGTTCAATGCTTCACAACCCTTTCGGTGAAGAAATATTTCTAATGTACAGTCTGAACCTCCCCAGCTGCAATTTGAGGCCATTTCCTCTTGTTTATGGGAGAGCAGACTGACCCCACCTCGCTACAGCCTCTGATAAGGTCTCCCCTGAGGCTTCTTTTCTCCAGGCTAAACAACCCGAGTTACAGATGAGACTAAAGTCAAAGACCAACAGTTCAGTGAGCTACTGAACACGTTTTGAAAAGTTACAACAGAGAACCCACAGGAAAACATTTTGTATGTACAAAATCCAATCACCTATTTTCAAATTATTAAAATGATCTCTCGTTATTGAATCCAAACAAAGATTTTACGCACTGCATGTGACAAGAAGGATTATTTCAATTCCCTGATGATGACAGAGCACAAAAATCAAGGTTAACTGCAGAGGTTGAAGAGAAAGACCGCAGAGTGGTTTTTTTCTGAGTCTTAGCAGTAGGAATCAAGAAGAAACCTGTACGCTGAGGAGTGCAGAGTTAAAGTAGATTCCATATTTTTTGTAACTTTCATGACTGTAACGTTATGTAATTTAGAACTTAACTTTGAATCCTATTAATATTAAATATTCTGAACACCAGAAAAATACATACTTAAAAAAGTCCTCAGGAACTGTGAGGTCTTCAGATTTCTTAGTATAGCAAGTAGCAAATTTCAAGAAATTTCTCTCTCAATCCTCAGACTTTTTGATTTATGTGACAGAATGACTGCAAACTTGTGCAAAATCTTTTCTTACGTTTTAGCGTCAGTTGCAGAGGATGAAAAGGGCATAATCCCACGGGCTATTCAGGAATTATTTCAGCATATTTCTGAAAACTGTAACATTGATTTCCATGTGAAGGTATCTTATATAGAGGTTTACAAGGAAGAACTTCGGGATTTATTGGAGTTGGAGACCTCTGCGAAAGAACTACATATCCGAGAAGATCAGAAGGGAAATACGGGTAGGATTTCAGCTCTAAAATTTGCTGTGTTTGGTTTCAGTTATGTGCCCAAGTTGTTCTTACCTTCTCTTGAAAGAACTTATTTGTTCCTAATGCTAGAAGAAGGTTAGATTTTCAGAATACAAACTCAGTTTAGCTGATATTAAGCAGTTCTGTGTTTCGATATCTGTGAACAATAAAGATGTTCCATCAGAAATGGCAACAAATGATGAAGTAGAAATACAGTTATTGCTTCAGCAAATTCTGTCTAGAAACACTGTAGTGTGTGATTATTCACCTGAGTAAGTGTTTTAAGGTTAAACCTTTGCCCTCAAAATTATACTTTTTAAGCCATGTATACTGTAAATGTCTGGCCCTTTTTCACTATGAAATGAGTGGAGTAGCAACTATTATTTTTCAAGGTTTTGAAATTAACCCTCATCATATAGTTCTGCTGTCCACTACAGAAAAATACTAGAAGGATCCACAGCAGAGATGTTTTATTGTGAAACTGTATTATCTGTTTTGAGGGGTCTTTCTTTCTTTATTCTTTATATTCTAATTGTTCTGTTTGTGCTAATGTTAGCACACTGTTGTATTGAGCTGGCATGCTTTTCTTGTTTGTAGCCAGAAGAAGGCACTAATTTAGTACAAATCTGGTGCACAGTATCATTGCTTCATTGTCACATAATATATTTTAAACTGTTTCCCTTTTCAGTACAGTTTGACCCAGCTACAGTAGATTGTTCTAGGATATTTTCCATCTTCATTAAAAGGAAGGACAAAAAATATGCTTAGTAGGAGTACTTGGTAGAAGTACACATCTGCATTATTAGATTGCTAGTAGATACCTGCCCAAGAGGTCCAACTGCCCAAGCTATGTAGAACAGACCTCCTATTCTTACCATAGGCTAGGAATCATTCCCACTACAAACTTTTTTTTTTTTTTTTAATCTGGCAAAATGTCTTTTGAGCTGACTTTGCTCATAGTTTTTCTAGGTATCGCTAGATTGCAAATTGCTCATGGCAATGTAAATATAATGATTAAAGTTCTGTATTGTGTTAAGATATTTTTTCATATGCTATGACACAATACACCTCTGTATTAAATATCTGCAGGTTTCAGATTTGTTTACCCTCATGGTTTTCACATATTGATGTCCTGTATTTCTATAGCTTTATTCTATGACCTTGTAATGCTGCAGGCTTATGTATTTCTCTAATAAGTGTTTACAGTTTGGCTGTTCCTAATTGCTGTGAACAAACCTCTGTTTAAGAGTTTAGAATTAATTAAATTATTCTTACTTTTTTTTGTTTGCTGTTTGAAGTGATTGTTGGTGCTAAGGAATTCCAAGTGGAATGTGCAGATGAAGTGATAAGCCTGTTGGAAAGCGGTAACGCAGCTCGTCACACAGGCACAACACAGATGAATGAACACTCTAGTCGATCTCATGCCATTTTTACCATCAGTATTTGTCAGAAACAGTCTGCAGAGTCTCAGAAAAATACTGATGCTGCACAGGATTCATCTTGGAAATCTGTCCAGATGATTGCTTCAAAGTTTCATTTTGTGGATTTGGCAGGATCAGAGAGGGTGACAAAGACTGGAAATACTGGTGAACGCTTCAAAGAATCAATTCAGATCAATAGTGGTCTGTTGGCCTTGGGAAATGTCATCAGTGCCCTTGGAGACCCAAAACGGAAAAGTGTACATATTCCATACAGAGATGCTAAAATCACTCGTATTCTGAAAGACTCCCTTGGAGGAAATGCCAAAACTGTCATGATAACGTGTATAAGTCCATCCTCCTCAGACTTTGATGAATCTTTAAATTCCCTCAAATATGCCAACAGAGCCAAAAATATTAGAAATAAACCAGTTGTAAACTATAATCCCGAACAAGACCGGATTGATGAAATGGAACTTGAAATCAGATTGCTTCGAGAAGTTTTGCAGAACCAGCAAGTCAGTAATCAGTGTTCACACGAGTTAAGTCAAGAAAGAATCCGTATCAGTTCCCTTGAAGAGCAGCTCACCAGGCTTCAGGTGCAGTGTTCCAGTTATAGAAATTGTCTAGATGAAGCCTTCCCGTTTCTGGTTGATTTGAATGATGATGTTAGCTTAAAAAGAAGCCAGCGGGACAGGTTGCAGAGGTGGATCACCATGGCACAGGAAGTGAGGAAAGAATCTCTCAGCCTGCAGGAAACTGGCACAGGGACTGGGACCAGCCAAGGGCCACATCACATCACAATTCTTCAGCTAAAGAGGGAGCTAAAGAAATGCCAGGTATTTACATACAAGCTGATTGTTTAAATAACTGTGTGAGAGAGCAGTCTGCTAAAACTTGAATTCAATTTCGAAAGATTTAAAACTGTTCCACTTACTTGTACTTAATTTGACAATATAAATTTAATTCAGAATCTTGAGTTTTGTTTGTTGGATTTTTTTTGGTCTAATTCCTGGGACATAGCTTTATTTTAATAGATGAGTGAACAGATAAGCATCTTAATAATGATAAAGATAAGTAAAGTAATGCTATATTTTGGCTAGTCAGTTTCACAATGATTCTATGAGGCCTAGCTATTTTATCTCTTAGATTTTTGGTTTGAGCCATGCTAGTGGGCCAGGTCTGGCTGGGATGGAGTTAATTCTCTTCACAGCAGCTCACAGGGTGCTGTGTTTTAGATTTGTGACCAATACAGTGCTGATCACATACTAATGCTTTAGGTCTCGCTGAACAGTGTGTGCACAAAGCTGTTTCTGTTTCTGCCTCTGCCCTGCAATGAATAGATGGCACAAAAGGTTGCTGACAGACACACACAACCAGGCAGGTGACGTGAGCTAACTGAAGATGTATCCCAGGCCATATGCCATTGTAATCAGCAATTAAGAAGGAGAGGACAGGGCTTAAGGAGGTTAGCCATGTGTTGTCTGGGAGCTGGCTGGGCATCAGTCAGCCTTAGCAGGTGGTGAGTGATTGCTGCTGCATAATTTACTTGTTTTATTTTCTTTCTGTCTTCTTCCACTTCACCTTTTACTTACCAAACAATTTCTGTCTCAAACCAGAAGTTTTCTTGTTTTTAATCTTCCTTTACTCTTCCCACTGGACTTGGGGGAAGAGTGTGGGCAAGCAGCTGTGCCTGCTAAGCTGCCTACTGGAGTTAGCTCAACAGTACTTTTTGGTGCCCAGCTTGGCTCAAAGCCTTCAAGATAATAACAGATTTTCTTAGAGTGAGCAAGATTAAACTTCTAGTTTAGTTGTTATTTGAGTGGCTGTTGCAGATAATGATGCTGGTATATTCACTTTGGGTGCTGACTGATGCGTTTCCTTGAGTATTATGATGCTTGATTCTTTTCTATCTGCGCAACAGACCCCAATTATCATTAGTGATTGTTTTCAGATTTTGCTGTTTAGTATGTTGCTTGACACTTTTGTTTTCCTTTGCTTGGGAGAGCTAGGATAAAACCACTGGCTTTCAGCCTAATCTTGTATTTGGGTCTTGCATCACTGATGTCCCAGTACTCCAAGAACCATCTCTTGGATAAAAACAGCAACTATATCTTTCCCTTTTTCGCCTCTGAGAGACATTCTGTGGAGAGAGGAAAGCATGGCACCTATCCCACCCTCTCCTACTGGATAGGTTTTTATAGCCTTGATGTCACGGCTTCTCAGTTCCTTCTGTATCTGCATGTGATCAGACAGCATGTGCTGTGATTCAGATTTTGATTATTGTTCATAAAGTTAAACAGCTAATTGGGGTTGCTGCACAGGAACAAGCTCTAAAGCAACTGGTTGCTGGTGCAGCAGGGTGGGGGGGGGGAGTTGGGCAAGTGCACTGATAGCTTGGGGTTTCACACCAGAACAGGCTTGTAAACCCACCAGGCTAAAACACTGTTTGAAGGAGGGGAGGCAAAACACAGTGACTTCTACAGCTTGATTGGAACCTGGCCCATGCCTATCAAGCCACTGTTTGATGCCTTCAGAGATGCAAGGAGCTCTTCCAATCTGTGAGCCCTCAAATAAGCACTGAGAAGGTCTCTTGCTCTGAGACAGCACAAATGCAGACTAAACAGAGGCAAAGCCCTCAGCTGTAATCGTTGTTCCTGTAGTCAAGAAGAAAGAGTGGGAGCAGAGGTCAACTGAGTTACTGAGAGAAGAAGAAGCTCCTCCTCAGAGGGGGAGAGAGAGGAATAATCAGAAGAGGAAACCTGTTCTGCAGCAGGACAGAGGAGGAAAGAGATAGCAATCACAAAATGCAGAAACTACCTGGTCCTTATCCATGGCCAAGCTGCAAGACAGGTGGAAAGACTGCATATTTGGGATAGTGGGGCTAACAGTCCAGAACTAGAAGGTAAGGAAGCACAGAAGCTGGGATCTATTGCTAAGGTCTGTAGGATTGACAGAGGGCTTGTAAGAGCGGCAGACACCTGCAGCTTCCGGAGGTGGCTCTTCTCGAGCATGAAGACAAGGTACCCTCTTCAGGAAGATATTGTAACCCAGTGAAGCAAGTGGACTACCACAGAGGAAAGTATCCAATGTCTGAGAGAATGAGCAGTGGTGGAGGTGGTCTACAGTAACACAGACAATAATCAGGACCCAAAGGTCCACATGACATACAGTGCACATGGTCTGTATGGCAGAAGTCTGTACAGAGCACCCCAACGTCATGCACCAGCAACCTCACAATGATGGATTGGGCTGACATTGAGGCACCAGCTTTTTATAGACTGCTCTGCCAGCTCCAGCGATTTGAAGAGAATCTCTGTTCCTCCTCCATGATGTGGGCTGTGTATCCCAGCTGCAGCAAGACTGTTCCACTATGTCCAGCAGCTCAGAAAGGATACGGATAATCTGTCTCCTTCCTTGCCCCCGCAGGCCAGCATCTCAACTACTATGACTTGGCCTTTCCCTGCCCAAAGAAAAGGGAACCAGGGGAACATGCCATGTGCCACCCTGTGGTTCTATTTGCATGACTGTGGGAAGGATGCAAAGAAGGGGGATGGTGCAACTACCTTGGTTGTGGAAATCGGTGTGTATGAATAGTGGGAGAAAACTGGTTAAAAAGGGTCTTTCCAGGAAGATTACTGCTCCAGTTGCTGTCAAGCAATTCCCGAGATGCAGTAGATGGGCTGAGGACCCCTCTCCTTTTCCTGATACTGATCCAGTGGACTCATGCCCATGTGGGTTTGAAACCCTTCCATTCTGCCATGGAAGGATCATCCTGGCGTGTAGTATGATCACACCAGTGATTAGTCCTTGTAGACTGGGCAACAGAGAGAGACATTGGCTTTTTTCACAGTGCAAAGACTTCTGGCTGCAATTACAAGAGCTGGGTAATGAATGCTCTGGTGGGGAATAGGAGGGCCCTCCCTACAGTACCAAGCAGAAGAAAGGACCACTGGATTTACTTTGGTTTTGGTGAACACCATTGTACAGTGTGCCCTAATACCACCAGAATCCAAGTGGGCAGAAGACATCTGGATTTCCAGAGTGACAGGGGGATCCCAATTGTTGTCTGTGTTAGAAGCTGAGGTAAGCCCAACAGGAAACAAGCAGAAGCAAAAGCAAAAGCATCCAATTGTCACCAGTGCAGATGCCCCATGTATCCTTGCCATTGATTCTCAAAAGAGGGTACTTCAGTATTATCTAATACTATGTGTGTAGCATACCAGTCTAACACTATCGAGTTGCAAGTATCTCATCTATTATCATTAAGTAGTTTACTAAGCTGTATTTTTTTAGCAGTGTTGTCACCAGGAACTCCTTCATTTCCTTTTCATGACCATGTCTTTAGCTAACTGAGTTTCTAAACTATTTACAGATCTCTCTGTCTCATCGCTCTTCTAACATTTGCTTTTTTGTTATGTATCAGCTTTCTCCTTTTTTGTGACATCATACTTCTTTCCAGTTTTGTAGCTGAGATGAGAATTTCAAGACAAGATATGGGGTTCTTAGCATGCAGGTATCCCATGAGGATCCTGTCATGTTGGTAGCTCTGATTACTTCTTTTTCAGACAGTGCTAGACAGTGACCTATGGGAGAATAGCTCTCAGCATTCTCAGGCATGATGATGTCTCCTCACAGAACGTGACATGTGATCACATGAATAATTTGGGGAACATGCCCATGTACATTTAGGAACGGCGTATTTTGGGAGTACCAAGTTAAAATGTTGACTCTGAATAGCAAAACATTCAAAGTAATGCAGATTAGTGTACCATAAACAAAGCCTCAAATGAAAAATAGGTATTTAAAATACCTGTACACTGTATGGAAACTGAGTGAAGTTCTGACAGAAGATGAACAACTCAGAAAAAGTAATCTTGGTCTGTCTGTTAGCAGGAGACAGTGCTCCAACAAGTTGGAATTTTGTAATATCCACCCATTTTCAGTTTGCACACTAAACTGTGATAAACCTGTAGATTGCTATCAGGCACTTGCATATACAAATTCTGTCTTTCTTTGTTCTCAATCAACCTAAATCACAGCTTTTTATTACCTCTTAGTTTTCTGCTGTAGCTTGTTTTAAATCGCCATTTCCTAGGTTCAAAACAGTATAAGAGCTGTACAAACTTAAATGTCTCCAGGTGAGTATGCCACCTATAGCCAGGAGGAGATGGTTCAGAAGAGGCTGAAATAAACAAGGCAATACAGACTCTAGAGCAGGGCTTGCCCACAGACAGATTTAATAGCTAATAGTTGACCTGTTCTTGTGTGTACATACATGTTTCTTTGCTAGCAGCTGTGATTGCCTGGATAATACTGTCCTACACAAAATTAAAATCTCGGCCTATTGGCTTAGCCATAGCTAACAGCCAAACTCAAAACCAGCCATTCATTCACCCTCTAGCAGGACTCAGGGAAGGAAAATAGGAAGAATAAGAATGAGAAGGCCCATGTGTTGAGATGAAGACAGGGAGGTTGCTTACTAATTAAAAACAGTCTTGAATTGGAGAAAAATAAGTTAATTTAGTGACAATTAGAAAAAAATCAATTAGTTATTCGTTTAGGTAGTGGGAAACAGTAAGACAAGCACTGAAACTCCTTTCCTCCCCCTCTTTTCCAGTCTTATCTTCACTTCTCTCCATACTCCTCTCCCACACACCTGAGCAGTGCAGGAGCACACTGGGGTGGTTTATGGTCAGTACATCATGGTTTTGCTCTGCTGCAGGTTCCTCCTTGCATCTTTCCTCTGACTCAGCACAGGCTCTGCATGGGCAGCAGTTCTGTCAGGAACTTCCATCTGTTGAGCATGGGTCCTCCCTAGGCTGCAGTAGGGGTATCTGCTGCTCCACTGTGGAGCACCTCCTGCTTCTCCTCTTCTTGGCGTTCCCTCTGCTCTTCCTCTTCTCACTCTTTTGGTTCCCTCCTCTTCTTCCTGTCTGGCATTTTGTGCTGTTTGTTAAATATATTATCACAGAAGTGCCACCGTCTTGGCTGGGGGGCTCAGCTGTTCCCTTCAGTGCGTCCACTGGAGTCATGTGGAATTGGCTGTGTCCAGCATGGGGAAACCCAGGTCTCTTCTCACAGACACCACCCCTGCAGTCATCCCCACCAAACCCTACACCAAATACAACTGAGCAAATATATTGTGATCTTGGTTACATATGTTTAATGCAATATGGGCAAGTATTCTGCTTATTGGGCGATCACTTTATCTTGCCCCACTCTGTCACCGTGCTAACATCTGTGCAGGCTGCTTTTTTCTGTAGTTGGCTTAACTCTGCATAATGATGCAGCACCAGTGGGGGACAGGATACACTTGTCAACTACATTTAGTAGAAACGTTTGCATTGGTACGTAGACTTTGGAAAAAGTTCTATTCTCTAATAGGTTGTTGAATGCATTCCTAAAAGTTATTAAGAGTTGTCTTGGAAGAAAGATGTAGGTATGCTGGTTGCACAGAAGTATCCACTTTCAGAATGGTAAGACATTATGTTTCCGTATTTTGTGTTTGGCTTCTGCAGGCTTTTTGGAAGAGTAGCAACATTTGGATGTCTCCTTCAATAAGTATTGGTTTGTTTATTCAGAAGAACATCTCAAGAAGCATTCTTATAGTTTCTCTGATCCTTAGGCTATTATCTGAGTTGCAGAATGAGGAGAGCTGTCCTTACTCTTTCATTTGAGAAGTGTATTAATCTTATGGTTGGTGCTGAGATTCTTGTGGCAACATCAAACAGCAACCTTAAAGAGAATAACTGGATTTAGATATCTACTTCAATAAAGTAGATATTTAAAATAGGGTTCATTATTCCCTTTGGAACTAAAAAACTTGCCAGAAGCAAATCAACAGATAAAACAAGAAGTGGAAGAAATAACTGGTAGCAGCCACAGATAACCGCTTAGACAATTTGCCATTCACGCCTCAAAACTTTGCAGTTCTGATAACGTCTTTTAACAACAAATGAGGGGTTTTCCTGTTTGTTGGTTTTGGTTTTCCAACTGTAGGGAACATAATGTCCTCTTTTCCCCAGCTGAACTTTTTTTTTTTATTATCTAGCAGGCTTTAGTTATGGATGAAGAAGTATTTAGCCAGAAAAATCATGAACTGCAGACACTGCAGAATCAAATAAAGACATTACTACAGGAAAATGAAGAACATCTGGAATCTTTAAAGGAGGCTCAAGAAACGCACAGATTACAGGTATTTTTCCTTTGGTACACATTATATATATATGTGTTGAACCACCCTTTCACTGCATGAATGCATTCATTATTTCCAGACAGGTCCCTCAGTTTTTTGGACATAACTACCTGTCAATCTTAGGGCCATTTTGTTTGAATTAAAGCTGTATCTCACTTAATGAGTTGAGTTAATCTTGTGAATGAAGCACATTAACGTGATTCCTGAAATTTGTGTACCACACTAGCTGTGCATAGTCTGCCCATGTAACACGAGGCAAAGCATTCACCCCCTCCGTGCTTCCTAAAGCATAACACATGTCAAGCGGTCTCTTGCCATGTAGTTTCAGGACGATGAATGAATTAGGATTTGAAGGGCATTTAAAGATTCCTTATAACCTAAAAAAGACTATAAAGATCCTACAGAATGCTTTAATTGAAAGGTTGTACAGAAACATATTTTGTAACAGCTTTATTAAGAATTATTGTTCCCTTTTGACTTTATAAGTCAGAATTGCATCCTTATTTTCTGAGTGTTTAATATTAGAGAAAACTGAGTGACAATAATGTAAGCACTACTTGCCTCCTTCTTTCTCTATCTTGTGCTTGCTAATGAAATGATAATGGGTACTAAGTGTATAACACTGCAAGATCCAGGAGACCATAAATAGAATAGTTAATTTTTTCCTAGTGTTGACTGTCACATGGTTGTTAGATAATTTTTTTTATTTTCTGACTTTTTAAAAGAGAAAAAGCATAAGCTTAGCTAGCTAGTATTTTTTCTCCTTATTCTGCTTTTTCTCCTTTTTCTTCTTCTTTGCTGATGGCTTGGGGAGAGTCAATGAATGAAAGGTAAGTATACTAGTCATCAACTTTTTCTTCCTTCTGTCCCTTTCTTTCTTTTCTGTCACCTCTGGCTAGACTGACCTTTTTTTTTTTTTTCTTAAATACTGTACTGCATAGTGTCAACTCACTACACTGAGATAATGCTTACATAAATTCTGGAGGCTACAAGACAGAGGTAGTGAACAAAGCAGTCACAGTGTAGGTAAAAGATTTTGATTGTCTGTCAGAGAGAGGGGAAAGCCTTGAGAGGTCTCAGGCATCATTTTGGTACTAAACCACCAAACTGCTACTTTTAATTAAAAATTTATAAAATAGGTAGAACAATGAAAAACTAATGCTTCATTTTAAGTTGTATTTGCAGGAATAATAATTTAAAAAGTAGCAGGTACTAGAAGAATGTTCATTACATGAATTTATGTAACAGGTGTTGCACTGTGAGGCTGTATTTACAAGGGTATCAAAGAGTCTTAAAAGGGTTACATAATAGGTTCAGGGTGCACCAGTTGGCCTCTACTGCTTCCAAAATCATAGCAAGTATGATATTAATATATATTTTATGTTTCCTGTGACACAGGAATATTATGTATTGTATTCCAATAAAATGTATATTAGCAAGGCATTCGCTATGTTTTCTTGGAAGGAACTTGCAGTCTAAGAAAACAAGATATAAAGACTGAATTAAAATGTATTATTTGAAGTAGGAGAATGCAAAATATCTGTCATTGAATACTTCGGTTGACTATCACTAGCTATTCTTCAACTTTCCTGTTACTAGGTCAGATTATAATGGTATTTGAAAAGAATTGAAAGGAATAGAGGGAGTTGAAAGTGGATATAATCTTGGCCTTGCAGATAAATCAGTTTAGGTAGGAGAAGTAGCTTTGAACAATGTACAGATGGCTGTAAGTGAAGCAGGTAAATAAATTCCCCAGACTAGCATAGCCACTTACACTGAGGCTGGGTAGAAGAAAAAGAATCTGTGCAAGGAATCCTGGGTTCGTGTAGAAGTTTATGTTTAATAAAAATAATCTTTAAAGTGGAACTGCCCAAAGAGGACGAGGAAGCCTGTATGCATGTTTCATTAGTTAGGCTCAGCCCGTGTCTTTCATTTGAACATTTTTGTTGAATTCCTGTTTTGTTTTCCCATAAACTCACAGGTAGAGCGAGCATGGGCTGGTGTGTCATCTGCTTCCCACTAGGCACCTAGATAAGCTAACATAACCTACCTGGGATAGGTTTTTCTGGACAAAAATGTATGTAGAGTTTATTAGAGTTGGGCTGTGTGCTAGACTGATGATATATCATAGAATATTCAGTTTGTTGCAGAATTTGCTTGTGCACTGCAGAAGAATTTAGGGTCTGTGAGTGATTTACAAGGTTCATGATGTTTGTGTGGAATTCAGAAATTGTTAATATAATACAGAGTTCATAATCGGCAACAGTTTTACTTTGTTTTTTTCTTTTTCCCCTATGAGAATGAGAAAATGGTGGAACAGCAAATGCTTATTGATCAGCTAAAAGAAAAATTAGAGAAGTTTACAGATGTGAAAACGTTGGACATCTCAGGTGCTAGTGCGGATGGTCCAGCTATTGTGGCACGGGCAAGGAGGCCATACAGTGTCCCGCTCACTAAGAGTCTGCTACGCTCCCTTCACCCACCTTCTGGCACAGAGACCCACAAGGTAAGATCTGCCCAAATGTTACTTTTTTTTTCCTTTACTTTGTAATGGTTCTAGTTCTGTAATTTGATTTGACATGACAAATTATGGCAGCTTTCTCAGAGGCTGTTTAGCTTCCCACTGAAGACTCTGAAAAATTACTTATTAATGTCTTGAAACATATGCTATGCCACAATTGTCCAGAATGTTCAGGCCTAAAATTATCAAACCTGCTAAAGCTGTAGTCCTTTCTAGTGCTTTCCTGGGGTTTTTGAGGGTTCAGATGTGAAGCATTATCAAAAGTGAATGATTATTCTTACAGATGTATTGAATATGTTGGGTCATGAGTTGGTAGGTGTGCCTTCTTTTACATTTGGAACAGAATTATTATAGAAAACCCCTATAATTTTGCTTACAATCTTAGATGATGACAGACTTATAAGTTGAAAAATTTTAAAAGTATCAGTAAAGAATTTCTAAATTGTTGCAAGTGTTTTTACCCACCACATTTTTGTGTGCTTTTTGGCAGGTATATACCAGCACCCCTGCCTTCTCTCTGACCCGAGTAATGGCACAGTTCCGTGCTCACAGCCAGATCATACTGAGCAACATAGAAGATCATGATAAAGTCCTTCACTGCCACCTCTCTGATCAGAATGATAAGGAGGAAGAAAATAAAGGCAGCAAAAAAAAAGCCTCATTTAAGTAATAATTTTTTTTTTCTAAATTTTTGTTATAGATAAATGTATACCAAAGGTAGTATTGCTGCCTAATCCTGCCATAAAAGACCATTTGTGATATTACTTACAGTAAATTTATGGGACCAACTAGTTTAATATTTTTGTTTTAATAAATATTCTCTAATCCTTGTTTTGGGACCGGAATTTACCATGAAGATTATAGGTGTGGGGAAGTAGTGAGTAGATAGGAAAGAAAGCACAAATGTGAGTTTGAGATTCTTCTCTGTTAAGGTCACGTACTTTGCATGAGCTGAAAGAAAAAAAAATCCTGTATGTTTGGAATGTAGCATGGTTTTCATTCTTCCTCAGGCATTCCATAAACCTAACGTGGACACGAAAACATGCTTCTTTGTGCTTTCTTCCTGATCTAAGTGATGTGAAGTGTCAAGTAGGCAAGTCTCATCTATCCAACAAATCTGTGCCACAGACTGACACAACCACAGGTAAAACGGAAGTCATGAGAACAACTCATATTACAGTATCAGAATAAGCAAGAAAGTGTTTAGTGTGTAATTATTTCTCCCAGCAAATACACGTATTTGATACGCATACTTTTTTGGTTGTAGTTCAGTGTAGGCTTTCAAGATTCTCTTCTTCACTTTCCGAAGCTGATGTCAGTGACCTTAATGCTTAAGTAATACTTATTAGCCAGAAAGCACTTAATACAATGAAAAGCTGTTTAGATAGAAAACTTTAATACTGCTTCAGTGAAAGAAATTAGATACTATTATCTTACCAGACGTGCTCTGAAATGGTTTCAGGAATATTTTTCCTCTTGCTTGGGATCTTGAAATGCCAGTGCATACCATCCTTTCTTTTCCTGTTCAGACACATCAGGTTCAGACTCTTTGTGCTGTTCTCTCCTTTTGATACTTTTGCTGCATGTGGAAGAACTCCACACATATAATGTTCCAGAACGGTATCTGTTGGATACAGACTGTATTTCAGATTTTTAATCCCTATATTGCTTTGTTTTCTTTGAAGGTGAAGAGATGGACAGCCTCCAGAAAAGTCATGTTTTTAACATGCAGAAGTTAAAGAATTCAGAGTTGAGACTCACTGAGGCCGAGCAAAAAATGAGAGAACTTGCACTTAATATCAGAATGAAAGAGGAACTCATTAAGGAATTAGTAAGAACAGGTAAATAGGGAAAATTAGAATCAAGAAGTTCAGAAGGGGAAGAAAAGGCACAAAACTTCTGAAGTCCTGCATGTCTTGTTTTTTATGTCATTATCTTATGCAAAAAATACTTTTATTTACTTAAAGATTTATAAGTTTCATTAATTACTTTCTGTTGCTCCACCGAAAGCTGTAAATTTTTATTACAGCCTACTCTGCTATGATACACAGATGTATTTGTTAAATGTTTTTTGTGCTTTGCTGATTATTGCTTTTATCCACCAGTAGTGTAATTTTTCATGCATGCTCAATATCTCTTTATGGACATGTATTTATCACGTACTGTCTGGGACAGGAGAGAGGATACATCACTGTGTTGGGAATGCTTACATTCCCAGCACTGCAGTCAAGAAGCAGGAGTCAGGAGTGGATGGGGGAAAAGGTCAGTGTCCCTGTCAAGCCTATACCCCTTACACATCTGTCCTGGTATACATATCTGCCTGCCAGAAGCTAGCCATATGATGACAGTAAGGATCTCTTTGCTCAGACCCTTTAACCACATTCCACTCTTGTGCATACCTTCTCCTGAGGTTGACTTTTGCCACCAAGAAAGATTCTGTGCCCCCCAAAACAGTACTTTGGGAAAGATTGCCCAAACAGGGCGAGTCAGAGAATAGAAACACAATCCAAAGTTGTTGACTGATTCTTAAACTGGAAGTTTAGTAATGAATAAATGGCATATGCTGCTGGAAGAAGCCAAATTTATTAAATACAGAAGAGCCACTTTGGCAAAAACTACAGTGGGCAGAAGAATTTCTCTTTTATCTGGCACTCAGATGGCACATCAGGTGACTGGATATGGTTTCTTTAAGGTAATGATGCTCAGTCTGTAAGCAAGCAGTATTCTTTGAAGATAACTAAGCTGGAGCAAGAATTTGAGCAGGCAAAAATGGAACTGGCTGAAACACAAAAGCGGCTTCAGGAGCTGGAGAGTAAGGAGCTGAGAGACATTCCTGAGAAAGACAAGTTACAAAAAGAGTTTCGGAAGAAGATGGATGCAGCTAAATTGAAAGTGCAGGTATTTCTGATCTCACCATTAAGATTTGCAAATCTCTGTCTCACTACCACCTTTGAAATTTAACACTCTGCTTGTAAAACTCTCACCAGTTTTACACATTGGAAGCTAGTTGGGTTGAAGTAGCTGATGAGGAACTTAATACAATTATCCTCAGAATGCTACTTAATATAGATATGGTGAGATACATACAGTGTTTTCTCGGTAGATAAGAAACAATGAAAGAAGTGAGTGACATGCGGTGCTTGGACACCATTGTATGTAGTATCATGAAAACACCCACACAAGGAGACTATTACATTTATTACCTGCTGTAAATAAAATCAGTGTTTTATTAAATACTATGTAAGTTCCAGCTCTTAGCAAATCACGGTGATGGTTTGCAAGACCAGGCTAAATACAGTCATATTTGTTTGTCACTGACCTACTTTTAAGTAGGTGTTGTCTACCTGGACTTCAGCAAGGC